TTTTCACCTGCTCCCACAGCTACTCATTCAGAGCGGTTCCCACATATGGTGCCAGTTGGTCCACTTGTACTACCATCAACCTACTTTTCCATATCATGACACACAACAGGATGCAAACAATAAAAATCCTTTTTTGGTCGGTGTAAGCGAATTACCTAGGATGGCCAGTACTCCTACATCTTTGGCTCTTACTCCGTATGCAGTCTCTGTTTTCGTTTTGGAGGGGGGGCAACCCCTCTACAATGTCGTGACATTCATTTTCTGAATCATGAATGAAGGTTCGGTATTCTGCTTCACGATCTCGAGCATGAGAGCCTTCCTGAAGACTCTGCCAGATATTCTCTCGCTTCCAAGATGTAGCTGCTTTTTTGAGTCTCGGCCCCTCATTCCATTGGCGCCTTCTGGTTGCCCCCAACACCTCTTCCTGAACGTCCATCCTTTCAAGGTTACTCTTGCTACATTGTCCCTGGTCCAATTTCTCCTTCGTCTCAGTTCGACTGTCGGTCTTGTATGACCGCACCCCTTACACCGTGCCACTCCTGCACAGCGGTCATCCCTCTGCGGGTGATGGCCAACTTCTTCCAGGAACCACCATTGCCATGGTGCCGGCCTCCATATCGGTCCTCCATTGCTTCCATAGTTTCTACTGAGGCCTCTTCCTTAGGGACTTATTGATGCTTCAATTCTGACTCTATTTCTCCCGTGGCCTCCGTCTTTTCTAGACAGGGCTCCATTATCTCAAGCTGGGAGTCCAGCTTGGCCAACATCCATTCGTGATGGACTTCCATCCTTTTTTGGTAGGTTTTCATCTTGGCCAGGATTTTTCTGTCAGGAGTTCTTGGCCGGCTCTCATTTCTCTTAGATTGATGTCTGTTTTGGCTTGGTTGGTTTATGCGTCTTATATTTCCTTTAGATTGGCATCCGCCTAGGCTTCTTTGTTTCCTGTTTCAGTAAGCAGGCATGCTAGCATTCATTCCGTTTCCATTTTGGCAATATAGCTTCTTATTGCGGCCTCCAGTCCAAACACTTCTGACACCAGTTGCCACATGTATGAGCAACTATTGATGGCGTATGGATTGGTAATCATATTTACTGACCACTTATGCCCACAACTTGTAAGTACAAGTAATTACAGAACCACCGCTAATCTCCACAATTCACAAATCACCACAGCACCTGCTAAGCATTTTCCAGCCTGCTGTGTCTTAAACAACCATTCCATGGCAACGGCTTCTAACGGTGGAGATTCATCAGCCTCACGCACTCAAGTCCTCTCTTCAGACTACCGTACACAACTGACTTGGTGGCCCTAATTGTCTTCCTTATAACTCTTCAGTATGGACTGAGTAGAAACCCCCATTTCCAAACAGTACCTATATTGTTGCTCATCGATTATTTGCTGTGGGAACTTGTTTACCGAGCCGTTGCCCAGAAACGGCCCTGGTATATCTGCCCATCTCACGGTCGTTTGCATAGTAAGAGCTCTACGCACAACATTATTACGATTTTGTCCTGTATTCTAGTAACGAGTCAACAACATGCACTTAGTTTTCCTCAACTGTATCCGTCAGGGCAACTGAAAATGTTAAAAACATTAATATTTAATTTCCAACAGAGCTTTATAATTTTATCAGGTATTCAGACTTAAATCAGAATCATATATTCCTGAAGTTTTCAGCATTATCCTGCTCCCATATTTTATTCATGTTCTGTGCTATGCTTCCTGATGTGTAGGGCAGAGCACTGTAAAATGAAGAGCAGGAGCTCATTTATTAAGTTGTATATGATATGCACTGACAGATTCCACTTTTAGAATAAGTTTTCTTTACATCAGAGCCCTAATATTATTGTGCAAGCTGGACAAAATATTACACTAATTAGATTATCCATAAAAAGCGAACTGAATAATACACCCAGTTCGTTGAAATATCATAGAAACAGTCATTTTGAAATTCTTTCCTATATATTTTATGAGATGATTCGTGATTATTTTATTCAACTGAACTGTAGCTTGTTGATGTTTTAGATTATGTGATGCCCTGTTGACAGCTTGATATTGGTACATTCAGAAATTCGACAAGCTGGATTCTTACACATATATATACGATATTATTATTTGGCTAATTCGGTTGTGAATAACAAAGTTACTTCTGAATACAATCAAATTGTGTGCCTGACACAAAAATATTATGGAAAATAAAAATGTTACATGTATGATTTTAAATGGCAAATCATGAAAGAAAGAAAATATATATACAGCAATGCTTGATGTTGTGATTATAGAAAACTGATTCTGAGTCTTAATTGTGTCCATTTCAAATGAATTAGATGGTACATCCTATAGGTTTACTGAACACTTGGAAGAGACAAATGTGTGTTGACATACTGTAATCGAGAAGAGAAACTGTAGCTTCAAGGACAGTATGCTGTGGTCAGAGAAAAAAATGCCAAATTGTTCAGTCTTTGAATTCATTGCACACAAAATCTTTCTGTTTATTTTGACCCTTAATTAAAAATTATTTCTCGCACTATCAACTTCATAACATAGATTTCAACTGGTGGATTCCCTTGTGTTCAAGAGGCAAATATAGTTGTTAAATATGTCAGAAAACAACTTTATTGAAATGGTTAAGAAGGCTACATGATTCTTAGTTAGTTATGCACCATCATCAGACCTCTAAGGGATGAGGTATGAAAAGTTTTTAAAAGAAAATCCAGTGTTAGGAATGTTAATAGCATCATGTATTACAGGGCTAGAGTCATTCTGGCAACACGAGAGCACAACATATCACACACCATAGGTGAGTAGGCATAAGCGATACCTGCTCTTCAGAGGTCGAATAATTTTAAAAAGTCTATGGCCTCCACACCTGCTACATTTTTTCCATGGTGCTACATTAAAGACAATGGATACCACAGTTACTCAAGCAATCTGAATTAATTTAAAGCCAACATATCCAACATCACTGCTGACATTCCACTCTTGATGCTGCTAACAAATATGTATGAACATACTTAACCATTCCTGGTTATGTATGCAACTGACTTTTGTACATTTTCAAAACATTATGTAACAAGATGTATTGTAAACACCTTACTCTGCATGAAGTTTTCATTTAAAAAGTCGCCACACTGTGCATATGAGTTTCGTCAAAATGGGCCTAGCCCTCTAATACATAACGTCATGACCATTACTAACATTGGGTTCTCATTTAAAAAATAATCACCCTGTCGTTACGTACAAGGGTGGCTATCTTCTCAGTAAAGTAAAGGAATAAAATGTATAAAACATTTTTCTCAGCAACATAAATTACGTAAGAAATGCCAAAAAAATCGCCAAATGGTGGTATGTTATTGCTGATATTTTTATATTCATAATTGTTTTTAAGAAGTGATGGTAATTAAGGCAGTAGAAACTTGGAGTCCTTTTAATTGACTGCAGGCTGACTTAGTGTATTTTTTTAACATTTCTTGTATAATTTATCTATGTTGTTTAGAAGAAAATTTCACATATTTTATTCCTTTACTTTATTAACTGAGAACATGACCTCCCTCATCCATAACTAGTATCAGCAAGTAAAACTTCCTCTTACACATCTCACTCGAGAATATCTGATGATGGCATATGACCAGTGTAAAAATCTGTAACCCTGTTGACCATTTCATTACAGTTGCTATTTGACTGACATATTTAATAACTCTACTTTCCATAAAATATGCCAAATTTTACATTTTGACAACTTAATTTTGTGTACGCCTTCACAATAAGTACTCTAGATTTGGTTTTCACCCTGCATCAGATACAACTGATAACACAACATATGCGCACAGTGGACAGTTTGAATTATTAAGAAACTACCTATTCCTGACATAGCAGGACATCATGGGTCTAGAACATATTGTAAATTATTCATCTACTTTCCTTTCTGGTTATGTAACATCAAATGACAGGATGCCGGATGATGAATTGGAAAGGATGGGGAAGAAGGAAGTTGTAGTCTGGTTGTTGTATTACTCTGGAGTTTGCATAGATGGGCTAAGGAAAACCACGAAGGACATAAGCAATGAAAGTGGTGCCACAGCTGAATTTCAAACCTGACACCTACAATTACAAGTCTAGAGCATTACTTCTAGGCCAGACTGTTCAGTCAGCTACTGTGGTATAAAATGGATGAGGTGCACAAAGGAGAATTTAGAATATAAAATGACCTCTTACATAGTGCCAGGAAATATCTTTACCTCTGTGTGTAAATGTATGATTCAGAACATAGCCTAGCCTATGGCAGCATCACAGCCTATTTGTCTGCCACCCCTGACAACATTTGAAATAAGTTACCGATATGAGATTTGAGGTTTCCATACCAATAAAGATTTCATATTGTGGTCTTCTAGATTATGACATTATGTAGTCTGGAAGGTGTATACTAGTGTTTCAGAAGTTTCCTCCATCTTCAGTACCTTGAAGATGGAAGTATTACATTCCTTCAGACTAGATGGTCTCAGAATGAAGAAGACCACAATATGTGATAGATTTGTATGACATATGTACAATTATAAGCTTCAGGTTTAAAGTGGTTGTACGTTCTTTTATGAAATATTTTCTTGTGATTTAAAAACTACAAACCTTTTGAAAATGGAAAATGTCAGGTACTGGAAACCAACACTGGTTGAAATTCTGCACAAAAATTGATCTGTTACAACAAATTTAAATTGCATCCAGCCTAACCAATTGGTAATTGTTTAAAATATTACATTCGTTTACATCTTTTGACAAATTTAACCATTTTCAAGAGGTTTTCCAACACTGTGAAAGGAAATTACTTGGAAGTATGGCAGGTTTTAATAAGATGTATAATTTCATATAGAAATGGGCAAACAATTAACTTAATATTACATAAATACAGAAAAGTTCAATTCTTCCATTACTTTCCAGCTACTGGCTCTTACCAGTTAATCCTAATAAGAGTTTAAAATTGCTTCATAAGAGCAATAAAACTTACCTAGATCATACAAGGTGAAGAAAACGTCACTGGACATGCATACACGCATACACACGTACACAGTCGCCATATTATTTAAACAGGTTGAGACTGGCACAAAGTTCTTCAGAAGTACCGGTAAACAATAAAAATATCTCCAAGCCTTATCCGTCAAATCTTCTTATACGCCTTAGGATTTTTCTGTACGCATTTTATCCTTCAAACTTCTTTTTGTGTGCCAAAACAGACCAATGCAGCCCAATACCTTCCCTCTTCGGGGGTTTTGAATCTTGTTTATCGGTATTTGGTACATGTCCTTGGAGGGTAGGGTGGCCCATCACAAGAAAGAAAAACACACGCACGCACACAAAAACGTACACATTTATCCCTGGGTTGGATTCGAACCCATAACTCTAACGTTTCCTTTCATGTGAGTCATTATCGTCATTACCCTCGACGCTGTCAGTAGCTAGACTATGTACCATCAAATGTTACGATGACTGATGAATTGGAAAGTCACTGCAAGGTACACGTAGTATTCCGGCATTTTCTCGGAAGGACTGAGAAATACCACGAAAACCCTCTGTCAGGATAGCCTGTGTCCTGATCGAGATTCCAACCCCGAAACTTTTTAGTGCAAATCCTGGGATTTTCCGTTAGACCATCTTACTTGATATCCTAACTTTGGGACGGCACAAATTAATACACGCAATAAATTTGACTCGGTTGTCCTTCAAACAACTACCTCATACATAAAAGTAATGAGGGGTAAATGGGGCAAATGACCCTCCCATATTCCGCCCACTTCTTCAGTAGACCTAAGTACACAACAAATGACAATAAGTTTCTTGTCAACAAGTGATAAAGTAGACTTCACTTTCTTAAGCTCATGAACGCATGTTTTTCTCGGAGTTATCCCCCGACCTCCCATAACATTTTAATGGATTTTTCTTTACACTGTGAAACAGACCTGACCTTCGCATATGAGCCATACAAAAGTACACTTGTTGGATTATATACGGACCTTGTATGTTCGTATTCAGTCGCAACGGTACTATAACACTCACTACCACGGTCTTAATGCGCTGTTCGACACTATTATGACCTTATCCTTTCTGAGGTGAAGCTAACACTGAACACATACTCCTCTAAGCACTGGTAACTTCTGCTGTACGAGTAGTAATGCGGTCTTTATAAGAAACATTCTGAAGGCTCTTGCCGGGGCTAACTCGTAGCTAACACATTTTTGTATCGTACTTAATGGAAGGAGAATTATTATGTATTGCTAATTATCTTGTTGGTATAATTGTATGTGTAAAATTGTATCTATTTAATTGAGGTATTCATTTTAGATTTTAACTATGGTTGAACTGCTGTCTGCAATTTTATCTGTGATAGTCTTGTGACTGTTGTTTGACAAGTTTTATATTTAGTGCCAGTTGCACACTTATGAATACTCTGAAACGCCGATATATGTATGTATGTATGTATGTATGTGTACATAATTTTAAAATACGCAACTCATTTCCCTTAATCTGATCATGAATTAAGGGCGAGGGCACACCAAGGAAACTGGTAACCGAAATTTCCGAGAATTGTTATCAGCCTGAGTTGAACACATGTTACTGAATAGGGCAGCGCAAATTGAAGAAACTGCGTTGCCGTTTCCTCAATTTGCGTTGCTCCATTTATTAAAATGTGTTCAACTCAGGCTGAAAACAATTCTCGGAAATTTCGGTTGCGTTGCGGTTGAAAGTTACCTTGGTGTGCCCTCGCCATAAAACGCAAACTGCAAGTTGGCAATTACTTACTTACTTACTCACTCATAGAGCTGAGCCCTTCTTGAGGAGCCGCAAATTTTGCAGCTACTCAAGAATTTCCAAGCATTTTATGGAACACAAAGGTTCATTACTGTGTTCACAAGAGCCCTTCACTGGTCCATATCCTGAGCCAGATCAATCCAATCCATACCATCTCATCCTATCTCTCCAAGATCCATTTTAATATTGTCCACCCACCTTCGCCTTGGTCTTCCCAGTGGTCTCTTTCCTTCCGGCTTTTCCACTAATATCCTATATGCATTCCTCTTCTCCCCCATTCGTGCTATATGCCATGGCCATCTCATCCTCCTCGACTTGATCATTCTAATTATACTTGGAGAAGAGTACAAGTTATGAAGCTCCTCATTATACAGTTTTCTCCAACTTCCCGTCACTTCATCCCTCTTCGGTCCCAATATTCTTCTCAACACGCTGTTCTCAAACAACCTCAGTCTATGTTCCTCCGTTGGCAATATGATGTGAAATTTTTCTCTGTCTTCATGTAGGATAGAAGTTACTTCTAATGAAGCAGGCAATAAGCCACACATGAAAGAGAAAAGTTCGAAGAAGATTGCCGTACTATAACCGTTAATGACCATGACTATAAGTCTCTTTTCCTGATACTAACGCATTTTAAATAAACCTGTGCGAGAAACCTCCTTATTTATCATTTTAAAACGTTCTGATTTATAATTTCTAAAAAAATGTCGTTTGGTTTGGGCATTGTAAGATCTGCAGAATCACAAATAACCAGAGGATTAAGTGGGGAGAGTTATCTTCAGAATGAGTGGTGCTATACCTCCATAAGTTTTTCCGTTCACTCCCAATATTGTGACATGACGCTTGAAAACCGGATATTGGAGCCAGAGCGGAAGTCCATTGCTAGCCAACGGCTCCCGCTGCAACGAATAGCACGGAATAATTCATTGCTGGACAGCAATTCACTAAGCACGTTTCATGGCAACGATAAAAAAAAAGAATAACAGGAACTGTTCGAGGCGGTGATCTATATTCGGGTCGCCTGGAAGTTAGTTCGGTTCAGGAGAGTTCAGTCAATCTGCATTCATAAGGGGATTCAGTGATTTAGTCGTAAGAAAATTCCGAAGGCAGTTCAATATTTGAATGTGTCAGTTGTGAAATGTTAACCAGCGGACAACGGAAAATTAATAAGTGACCGATTCGTAAACCAGAATTAAGTCAGCCTCAGTCGTAAGAGAAGATACTCGTAATCCAGTAGGGAATGCAGGGAGTCTAAGGGCCCATCCACATTACACGTGCTCGTGCGTCAGAAGCTTACTGCTGCCAGAAAATCAGGATCTGGAGCTGATATCTGTTGTGAAGAAATGCGAAGGCTTTGTATGCAAACCAGTTTGGGCATCCACTTCATCAGCTCCAAATCATGATTTTCCGGCAGCAGTAAGCTTTTGACGCACGAGCACGAGTAATGTGGACGGGCCTTTAGACAGTAATTGATTGTGAGCTATCATAATTGATTGTAATTGTAAAGAAGTGCCAATAAATCTAATTCAGAACTCACCCCTCATACGTGACAATATAAATAAAAGGGATAATTACACGTACACATACAGGCGTTGGAAACCGAGATATAGGCTCACCTACATTAGCAAAAAGTTCCGTGAACATACGTTCAGAAATCAATTTTAACTGAGATATGGGCGGATCAGTGTCAGAGTATCACTGATGATCAGAACTTAGGACCAGTTGTCTTACCTAATGGACTAAGCGGTGCAGTGTATCACGGTTTGGGGGGGGAGGGGGGTTGAATTACCAGTATTCTTGGAACATGAGCTTCTTCATCAACGACAACACACGTAGTTCATGCTTGACGGGACACCAACTCATTTTCTCCACACTGTCAGATAGCAACTGAACAAGACTTTCGGTGAACAGTGGACAATGCGGAGACCCAGTCAATTGGCCTGCATGATCTCCTGACCTTAATCCTCAGAACTTCTGGCTGTGGCGACATATAAAGAACTTTGGTGTATTCAGGGTGGCTCAATGACTTATCGGCATTACAGCAATGGATAGAGGGTACCTGTCAGTAGTTTCGATTGAATATGGGAATTTGCAACAGAATGAGCACCTCTGTGCGGCGAAGAGCTACAGTTACATTGAAATGCATGGGAACTACACAGAGCATCTGCTGTAGAAATCATATGAACATCGCCCATATCCCAGCAAGCATCGTTTTCTGGACAGTTGACTGGAATATTTTCCGCTCATTTAAGTGAGCATTATACACCCTAAAGCCTGTAATGCTCATTTTTAACACACTGTATATACTGCATAACTCCACAACTCTAGATATGCATAGTACAGCAAATGCGATATATTTTATAGGATACGAAATCTTGCCAGCATGTTCCATAAGGACACACAATGCTTTAAAGTATGGCTACCAAATTGAAAATCACCGAGGGGTTGCACTGCAAGCTTACAGTACGTACCAATATAGATATCTGGCCTAAAATGATCAGTTCTATGAAGCACAAACAAATGAAAAAACTGGACCCAGAAGTTTTAAAAACAATAATTTATTTTTATATCGTAATGCTATAGCGGTATATAAACATTATAAAAATTCAATGAATTTGTATCCGACAAAATAAAGAAGTCACACTGACTCTGAATTGTTTTCAATATCAGCTCTATGAACGAACGCTCTCCTCTACAGGATAAATCAGGCATATGAAAAGACGTAAGAGTAAGTGCATCTGCGTTTACCTCGACAGTAGCAAGTCGAGATAACGGGGAGATTCATCTGTTAGAGAAAAATGACATAGATATTTTATGTACTTTAAAGCTGGTTGACAAAATTCGCTTCATATTTTAAGAAGTAAAGCGTTAACATATTTTGCGTTATGATCGCAGGTCATAAAAATCCAATTGATTGGATTGATGAGACTTGCGCCCCTCACTCTGGAGCCAAACTTTAAAGTGTGAAAGGTGCTGCATTAATTTCTTCGACACTCTTGGGCTCATATAATTGTGTTCTGACAAATATAGCACATCGCCTGACATCCGCCATACTAACCAGCTACTAGATAAATTACACGGTTCCGCCTTTTTTGCTTTCTTTGACGCCTGTTGCTGCAATTGCTCTGATTCGTTTCCATAACCTATTCCTACACACTTAACAACGCTGGATTTGTGCCAATCAACAGTTAATATGCTCCCCAGGCTGGTTAACTGTCCACAGATGGGCAGGATATCGCTGCACATTCAATGAGTAAGAAATAATATTTCTGCCTGTCTATGGCTGTACAGCCCTTGTGAACATTAGCCGCTGTTTCAGTTTCTTAATCTATGCACGGTCGGTAGGACTCTTTGGACGGGGGTTCAGCCCGTGACAAGGCCAGAACAACACAAACACAGAATAAACGCACACAGACACCCATGCCTCGAGTGGGATTCGAACCCACGATCCCAGTGTTCGAGCGGGCGAAGGCGGTTCATGCCTTAGACCAAGCGTCCATTGGGATCGGTCAAAGATTTATTTAACAACATAATTAATGCCAAGTTGCACTACTACTGTACAGCAGAAAGAATAGCTTTATGAATATGCACTCACATTAGCCCCGCTGAAAAAAATGTCCATCCCAAAGAAAGTGTTACGTTGGGCATCCATCTGTTCTTTGCTGCATTAGCAATAACTAGTTACAAAAATGTAATCACCCCATCCTTTAATTCAATATCTCACATGTGTACTCCATAACGCTACCTGATTTGATTTGAAGTTTCCCTGATGTATCCGGGTGGATAACATCCAGGACATATAAGCAGGTTCAGAACGCTTGGGAAGAGAAATTGTAATGGTATGTAGTAGTTAAAATGGCGTAGAAGCACGCTGAGAAAACGACTGCAGAAGCGAATGCAGCCAGCTGTGCACGTGCATCGAAGGAACAACGGAGACGAAGATTTCTGCGGATACAACCCGTGTTCCGTGACACGAGACTTTCGTTCTGATTTGTCTGGGAATGGTTACACTTCTTTTGTAAGTTACCTAACCAATCACTGCGTAGTATGGGATTAATTCGTTGTATTAATTTACACCCTTGTCCAAAGACTTTGTCTGCCGCTGAGGATTTTCGTTGACATCTTACAGGCGTGGCCGAAGTTAACGAGAGTTGTTGCACCAAGCTTCTGGAAGCAGCGTGTAGGCAGTAAGACAGAAATGAGCTCGGTAAGCTCCAAAGAAGACTAACTCGTTGTACAATAAGCAGCAAGGACTATGTAACTGAGTAAAGAGTGAAGCCGCGTAGTTTGATGGCGTTAAATAAGCCATGCGTACGAACAAAATAGCATTAGTGAAGTGAGCTTAATCTCTGTTAAAATTAATGTTAGAATCTTAGATACACTTCGGTGATTCATTCAGTATCTTTCGGCATCAGAGCATAGTTCACTATGATACTAAATTGTTAACTTAGGCCATTGTCGCGAGGGGGGGGGGGGCGTTAAACTATGCATCTACCCAAGCCAGAATTTTTTTAAAATAAGAATTTAAGAAAACAAAGCAACATATCAACTATTAATAATAACAGTCGAAAGGATTTAAAAGTTAGCCTCTGGAAAAGAGCTGGTAGTGCCCATGGCTTAGAGAGTGGGTTTCAAACTTTTCGAGTTCACGGACCCCTAGTAACACAGCTCACTCGAGGGCACTTCAGTCTTCCACATTCAAATTACTTAAATATGAACGTAAAACAGAGTCCAGTAAAGTAATTTATGTGTTTTAATGTTTGTATGATCTATCCAAAGGGTACCGGGGGCTCTTTCCCCTGGGGTAAAGCGGCAGGGGCGTGAGACTGACCATTCACCTCCAACTAGTGCCAAGGTCAAGAAAATGTGCATCTCTACTTGTAGCCCTATACA